TTTTCCCATGACGCAGGTGTTCAGAGTTGTAAATGCAGGGGGGGTCAAAAGCCTTTTATATGGTTGGAGAAAACAAAAACATGGATGTTGGGTAAGAGGATGCATTTGATGTGAGAGAAACATAGAGCAAGTAGTGGTAGCGAAGGTGAGGCACCAAGAAAAGAGCTACAATTATCTAAAGAATCAGCTATTTAGAGCTCTTTAAAGAATATGATATGCCTACAAATTCCATGGAGCTAGATCTTTTACAACTTTTAAATACTCTATCTTATTGCATGATTGACCTGGGGTTCTCTCTACAGTAATTGTCATTTTGATCTTTTCCGGGGTTTGTTCAACTTTTTTCAAGTACTTAATGTAATTCTTATATCTTGTTGGTTGATGTATTTATAGCTTAAATACTATCAAAGCATTCTTATTTTCTCTATTAAATTAACATCTTTTTTCCAGCATATCCAAACATCGATCAAAATCGGTAAGAGTACTAACCCTAAAATGAAGATAAAGGTTAAAAGTGTTAGAAATATTTGAAGGAGATAAAGGAAACAAGGAACATAGGAAGTATGATGAAAAATAAATCTTATTTATATAAATATTTCTTTCCTGAGAGAGGAAGTTCCTAGATTTGAACTTAGACTTACAATACTTCAAACATATTTATACTAATCTAGGATACTTGAAGAGACTTAAAATATAAACACATATTTAATAGTGACATGTATATACTTAGGAGACACCTATGAGAATAAAAGACACTTTGAATGTAAACTTTAAAATTAATTCTGACAAAGTATTTTTTGTATTTAGTAAAGGTTCTGTTGATGTTTCTTTTTAACAATCCTTATTAATCTCCGTTCTATGTTTGTTTTTTGCTTATATTTTCTAGATAAGGGAGATAATATTTAATATGCATGTAATATAAATATATTTATTATATGATGAGTACAACTGGTTGATTCTTAAATATTTATACATATTACTTTATTTTTTGGGTACTCATCTATTATTGAATTTGCCCTTGTATTCTTTTGAATTAAATTTTATTTGATATGACATTCATTTACTTACAGATCTATATGAATATTTGTTATTTCTTGATATCAGGATACTTGTCAAAAACTTCATACTAATAAAAAGTAATTAGTTTATATGCATATAGTAACCCGTATACCTAGCTAGTGGGAGAGACACTAACTTATAACGACTAATTTTTCCATAGTTATTGGGACCGCAAACCTCATCTGTTATTAGAATTCTATGGTTTCATGTAATTTGTTATTTGACATGTATCCCATTACCATATACTTATATGCTTAATGCGTGTGTGTGTGTGGATTACAATTTATAATATATACAATATGTATTAAATATTAATCCCTCATCGAGTTGGTTGAACTCACTCCTTATTTTTAATATTATTTTCAAGTTCTTACCTTTTGTTAACAAACTAACTTTGTTAAGAGTTTCTGCTTTTTTAGTTTTAGTTGGAATGCTTTGCTTATTTCCAAGAGGTTTTTTTTTTTTTTAGTCTTGATTTAATATCTTAAAGTGATCCACTATTACACTATTTTATTTGAAGTTTGGATTCTTATACTGTAATAAGTATTATGAATTATTATTTGATTTTATTGATTTTGAAAAATATTTATGGAAAGTTTATGAAATGATGTAAAATCTTATATAATTTGTTTTATGAGAAGTATGTTTCAGGCTTAATATAGATGAGATGTTTTTATAGCATCGCTCTTGCAATGCCAACTATAAACCTAGAATTCAGGTTGTGAAAAAGTTAGGATCAGAGAATGATTTGTTAGAAACTCTATAATATAGACTTTGTTTTTGTGACAATGTTTATGATAAGTTTTTACCATGACGCAGGTGTTCAGAGTTGTAAATGCAGGGGGGGTCAAAAGCCTTTTATATGGTTGGAGAAAACAAAAACATGGATGTTGGGTAAGAGGATGCATTTGATGTGAGAGAAACATAGAGCAAGTAGTGGTAGCAAAGGTGAGACACCAAGAAAAGAGCTACAATTATCTAAAGAATTAGCTATTTGGAGCTCTTTAAAGAATGTGATATGCCTACAAATTCCATGGAGCTAGATCTTTTGCAACTTTTAAATACCCTATCTTATTGCATGATTGACCTGGGGTTTCTCTCTACAATAATTCCAACACTCATAATAAGAGAATAAAAGACACTTTGAATGTAGACTTTAAAATTAATTCCGACACTCATAATAAGAGAATTGAATCACCACGATTTCAAAATTAAAAGGGAGTGTTTGAATGTAGACCTTTAGTGTAGACTCTTAATATATAAAGTAATGGTTCAAATTGATTTTTGCTAAAATTATTTTGATAAAAGTAGAACTAAACCAATAGCATTTCCAATGACAGCAAATGAGAAATTACATCAAGATGATGATGCGGCTAAAATTTATTCAAAGTATTTCAAGAGTCTCGTTGGATCTTTAATCTATCTCACAAATTAAAGACCTAAAATTCTCTTTCCTGTTAGTATTATTTCCAGATTTATGAAGAATCCTAGCAGACTTCATCTTGCAGTAGCAAGAAGGATCTTGCGATATCTTCAAGGAACCAAGGATCATGAAATCCTATATAAAGAACAAAATGAAAATAGATTGATCGGTTATTCTGACAATGATTGGAAAAAAAGCTATGATGATAAGAAGAATACTTCTTGGTATGTGTTCTGTCTTGTAACAAATATGATAAGAAGAATACTTCTTGGTATGTGTTCTGTCTTGTAACAAATATAATTTTTTGGTGTTCAAAGAAACAAAATTCTATAGTTTTATTTTTTGCAAAGGCAAAATATATTATTGCAAATGAAGTTGTTGGTTGAGGAGAGTTCTTAGTAATTTGTAGTAAAATGTTCTTGATCCTACCATTATTTTCTGTGATAATATGTTTGTAATTGCAGTAATTAAAAATCGTTTTTCATATAAGATCAAAACACATAGAAATGAGGTATCATTTAATTAAAGACATGGTAAGCAAAAGGAGATTCAACTAGAGTTTTCATTAGAGACATGGCAAGCAAAAAGAGATTCAACTAGAGTTTATCAACACAAATGATTAAGCTCCAGACGTCCTCACTAAAGCAAACTAGAGTTTATCAACACAAATGATTAACCTCCAGACGTCCTCACTAAAGCTGTACCAGTTGAGAAGTTTCAACAATTCAAGGGGTTCTAGAAGATTACAAATTAAGATGAAGTGCTAAATGTAATTTGTAATTCTCAAAGTCTTCTATTATTAACTTTTATAGCTCTTCTTCTTTCGGGTTTTTCTAGATTATGGAAGTCTATGTGTTCCTAGATTTCATTAATTCAGCTCTTGTTATATGGGCATTTTCTCTTCAGTTTATGTAAGCAAGAAAACAGAACAAAAGTATAATAAAAAACATAACTAAGTATTGAGCTGCAGCTATACCAATTATCACTTCCAATCCTTTTTCTTCTCTGTTTCCGCAATTTATTTCCAACAAAAAGAAAGTGTTCAGATGATTTACAATTTGGGCAACACTATGAGATGGATGGCAAGCGTTTTCCATGCTGAACACTAGCATTTGTTCTGTGATCCTACATTAATCATTGTTTGCGATACGCTCAAGAACCATGTCAAATTTCAAATATCAAAATATAATCAACTAATGAAAAGAAGGTGTTTCTAAGAACTCGGTCAACAAATAAATACTAAAACTAAGAAATTTATAATATATAATAATCAACAACAGCATCTCTGTTGATGAAGCATATTTACCTTACATCAACATAGCATCCAAATGTTTTGTTTAATGTACCAACAGCTTCAAATTACAAACTCATCATTATTTCTTCTGCAGACCAAATGTTTTGTTTAATGTACCAACAGCGTCAAATTACAAACTCATCATTATTTCTTGAAACTACTACTAATAGCTATCTATAGCAAAAGGCAATATAACAGTCCTCTTCTCAAGTCTAACATCGACAACAAATTAACTAATATTTCAGGGATATGCTACACGGAACTTTCGACTGCTGAAAGCACAACTAGTTCGAAACTTGGTGTCATGGCTTAGCGATTATATCCGGTACCTGATATCTCGAGCTTTCCTGACCACCCTTTTTGCATTAATATCACTGTGCAGATCTGGATAGGAATCATTTATGCGACTGACAAGAGCATTGCGAATGCCTCCCTGCGTTGGCAGAAAAAGGGAAAGGTAGTTTATTATTGTATCAAAAGAATGTGGCAAGCAAGATTTACGCTCGTTGAAGCAGGAAAGGCATGAGCATATGTAGTGATATCTAATGACTCGAGTTTTTTCGTAAACATAATGTGAAAATATGGATTGACATGCCTTGATGGTTAGCAAGTGTAGTACCAATCACAAAGTAGCCAATAAATTAAAAGGCATTGCGTAAATGTTCTAACCTTTGATACTTCTAGTGCCTTTTGAACAACATAGTTCCCGAAATTATTACGGCAGATGTTCACAAAGTAAGGGCTGTGCATAAACTCCTTGATAATCATTGAAGCATTCTCCTCCCCGCTCCATATCAAACATTTCTCCACTACATTACTTCCAAACTTGTTCATGGAGAGAGACACAAAATATCCTTTTAGCTTCTCTAGTATCCCGATTGTTGCATGCTGTATGCGTTCGTCGAGTACATGTTGCACGACATAATTCCTAACATGCAAAAGGAAATTAGAAAGTTGAAGGCATCTGTAAGGAAATGTATAGATGAAACAAACTCTTCTTTGTGTCTATAAACTTTTGGCTTCCAGTACAAAGTTTATATTCAAAATGCCTAAGGAGGAATCTTATCTTCATTGGTTTTAATTCAAAAGTTTTTGCATATAGATTTATTGTTGAAAATCATACAATAATTCTTGAAATATCTAACATTGGAAGCTATTATAGCTTATTTTCATGATAAAGTATTTATGAAAAGTAAATTTTAAATTATGATTCAATATAAAAAATCATTTTTCATAAATCATGTCAAGGAAGCTATTTAGTAAACATAAAAGAGGAGATAAAGGACACACCCAAAAGGACTTTCCGAGAGTAGCATTGCATTTGATATTGTTTCAAGCAAAAGATGCCGCTTAAGCTCCCCTTGTGCACAATCCAAAGCTCGGTTCAATATACAACATCCGCTTTTATCCATTGCAATGTCAAGAAAACTTTCTGCTATTTCTTTGATGAGGGGCTGCAAATATATAAAAAGCTTTTATCATGATTATGAAAAGAAAATCAACTGCAAACATGACTCGTAGATTGACTAATCATTCACCTTCACTATATGAGAGTGTGCGTTTAAAGTAATTAAAATATAACTATATCCATTGGTGTGTTCTTGCCGTATCTCATTATTAAAACGCTAAAGATTAATATATTCTTCAAACTATGGAATCTTGCATAACTTCAAGTTCAAATAAATTCAATATTATGTAGATATATACTTAATTTGAAATCACTTTTGTGTAGCAAGGACAAAGCATATATATATATATATATATAATGTGTGTGTTTCAGTGTGTGTGTTACCTTTATATCATCCATTGGGAAATGTTCCAAGCATTTTTGAATTACATGATAACCATTTTGGTTCTTGGATAAGATGACCGTCCTCCGAATCAAAACTTTTGTAAGCAGCAATCTTTGCTTAGGCGTTTTGATGTGCTCTATCATCTTTTGCATCGCACGGGTTCTATGAAAAGAATAATTAAATGAAATTAGTCCAAATCATTGATTTGGAGTTTGAATTAAAACGAGAACACCATATATACATACCCCACTGGATGAAAGCATAACCCAAGCAGCCTCCTTTGGTTATGGTTCAAAGAGAGAATAAGTTGAGTCATTTGGGCTTCACTGCATACTTCAAAAAGCTTCTGAATAACATGATTACCAAACTGATCTTCCATTAAGTCATGTACATAATCTTTCACTTCCAAGAAAATCATCTCAATTAGATCTGGCTTCCTCTCATCAAGGACGCCCTGCAAGACCCGATACAGACTTTGACTTCTTGCTGCCACAGCCACTCTGCCTTTTAGTTTATATAGTGATGGGTGATCTGATTGAAAAACTGGGGAATTAGGCAAAGAAGAAACCCTCAGAGTATCTGACTTTGCAGATTCTAACGATCTTACTCTTCTAAATTGAGAGCCAGTATCAAGTATTGTGCAATCAGCATCGAGTATTCTACCAAGACATAATCCATAATGATCAAGCGCATCATAAGACTGACTACGTATACTCGCGCGCGAAGTGCTCCCATGCTTATTTCCGAAGTTGGAAAAAGAATGCAGTGCAAACCTATCTCGGCAGTCTTGGTCCTGGATATTTTGATTATAGCCGAGGATGCCATTATTGTTTCCGATGTTGGAAAAAGAAGGATGCACCTTATATCCGGTCCCATTTTGGGAGGTGCTGGGGAAAGAATGCAGCGCAAACCTATCATAGTAGTCTTGATCTCGGACATTCTGATCATAGCCGCAGCCTCCATTATTGTTTCTAATGTTGGAAAAATAAGGATATTGCTCCATATATGTGGTCCCATTTTGGGAGCTATTCTGGTATGAGGGGTGACCAGCAGCAAGTGAGTACTGATCAGCACTCCTCGTCGTGTTGAAAGATCGCTGTTGTTCATTAGAAGAATGAGAGCATCTACCAGTTGTAGAAAGATTCATTCTAGCAAAGTAACTTTCTAGAATTGGATCTTCAAAGGGACTAGAATAATCAAGTTCCATATTGTAAAAGCGAGGAGATTCAAACACGAATCCAGGGGGGGGGGGATTTCTAGGTTTTGTTGTGAGCTGTTAGGATCGTATACAGGGAAAAGAATTCCATGGTTTTGTTGTGAGGTAGGGTTTTGGTTGACTGAAGTGCTAGGGTTTTGGGGCTGTGAGTGTGAACCAGCGCTTTCAGAGATGGGGTTTTCGCTTGATGAATCAACAAGGGAAGTGACTTGTTTTTTCCTTTGACATCTCCTTTCCGTGCTCACAAAATCATTGTTGGAGAAAGGAAAAGAAAGAAGGGAGTGCTTATTTATTTCCCAGCGAGTCTAAAGTCAGTTTAGGGTTTGATGGTTTTGAAAACCACATAATATTTATACGGGCTCCTTATATTGGATTTGGATTAAAAGCAAAATTCTGGCTGAGGAGAAAAGGTAGAGTCCTCGAGGATAAGAAAGCAGATATTATTTGGAGATAGTACTGTAATCAAATAAAAATACGTACCTCATATGGAAACGTTTGTTTCTCCTTCTAGACTACTGCAATTCGTGTTCTATTGAAAAGGAAAAACTAGATTCTTCAAAACTATATATATATAAAGACAAAGAATAAAGAAAAACTACAATAAACTCTTTAAAAATTAAGAAAAAAAACTAATTATACTTTTTTTTTCTTCCAATAATAATATTCAATAGTACAAGGTATCCTATGAAACATGTTGTCGATCAATCGGACGAGTCTGTGGGTTTGGATTTACACTAAGAATGCTAATTAATCATTAAAGTAGTAATTTTTTGAAAAACAAATGCAATTATAGACCGAGCCGGCTTAAGGGGAATCCATCTTTGAGTAAAATAAAGTGTTTAAAAATATTTAAGAAATATTTATTTTTAATTTTTATATATGTTTGATAAATAGGATATTAGATAATTTTATTTTATACTCGAAGTTTTTTTATTAAATAAGAATAATTTTTATTTCATAAAGCACAATTAACTTTCTTTTTGTCTAAACCAAAGCCGAAAGGAAAAAGGTTTATATATTAGAATCCAAAATAAAAACTATTTGTGTGGAGTAGTAGAAACAAATACACGTACTGGTAAAGCGAAAGATCGATAAATAAAGACGTAAAATGTGGAATCTTTATGCTTATCTAATTGTATTACATCAAGGTTACCATAGACTTTCGCAGCAATATTTAAGGTCGATTATTAAGATAAACACGACAGCGATAATTTCATGATAGCTTTGAACTAGCTATGATTAATTATAGCATGATGATCAAACGCTAAAACAAGAGATGGAATGAAATCTCAATTACGGATAATGACAAGCAGAAGATTTTGTAACTCGCTTAAATTAAGATAAGTACACTTACTGAAAATTACTAGGGAAAAAAAGAAGAAAAAACACTTCATTCTTTTCTTTCCAGGACCTTGAGCTGTCTTTGAAGATGGTGGAAAAGTAGTTTTCGTAGAAATCATCTTCAAGCTTTTGCATGGAGGCTTTCGCAGCTAAAGCGACACCAAGATCGATGTAGTCAGCTAAAGTTGCATGGCTGAAGAAGTCTAGGGTGATTCAATCTTCACAAATAAACCCGCTGTCTGGCTTAAACATTCAAGCCTAGCGGAGATGTTCAACGGAAGGTCATGTTCAACTAGCTAGAGGAAGCACATGCAGTGCAACACATTTACAATGTATTATTGCCCATTAGAAGAAATGAAAAGACTCTGAAATACCAGTCGGCCTTGCTGGGATGCTACGTACCCTTGCTATCTTCTAAGTCTACACAATTGAAGTCCTTCCGCTTCCTGCAAGCCCTCATATTGGCTATGGCTTCCTCCATATGGACTGCAGATTCCACGATCCACTTCAATCTAACTCTTAAATATCTCGAGCAGAGCAGGCAACCCCTAAGCAATGCCCTCATTAAGTTGTGTTGCAAGGCATGGAGAAAGCTAAATTGATAGCTGCTTCTACGTGGCCTTCTTAAGATCCATCTAGAAAACATATCTTGTGCTTCCGAATCCGGTTTAACTTTATAGTGAAATGGATCGTGTGTGTGTGTAAATAAGGCTTCGCGTATTTAAGATTGAATGGAACTGCTCTTCTTTGCACGTTGCTGTTTCCCCATTTAGTAAGATTTCGATTCTATCCGCAATGCTCGTACACCAAAGCTTTTAAAATTGGATAGATAACCAAGACCAAGACAGTTTTTGTCTATTCCAGTTAATGATTAAAGGCTTTAGGTCTCTCAATCCAGTCCAGCACAAGGCGCCACAGTAATTCTCTGCCTGTGGTGCAAATGGACCCCAAAGTTTCTGACAGAAATCATCTGGTTGAAGCCGAGGAAGAGCTACTATATATCTAAAGTAGCTTCAATGTAATGCTTAAGCAACCCCGGCCTCCAACTGATACACGACTTCCATATTTGCAAAGAAGTTGCTAGCTTCATTTCCTTCATCGATCCAAGTAATGTTTAATTTATGATCCTCTCAATTTGAGTATGAGAGCCCACATGAAATTGATGTACAATATATCCCATCAATGCTGATCCAACTGCATCTGGGCTGATTCTTGACTCCATTCTCCCTCGTTATAAACCCAAGTGCTATGACATTGTCCCATCGATGAGCAACTGCGAAGACAGTAGCTAGCATTACAGAGAGGAGATATTAATTAAAGTATAAAATTTAAAATTATTTTAAAGAAGGCATTAATAAAAAACTAAAAAGAAATAATATATCATGAACTTGGATTGGATGAGAAAATTAAAAATAAAAAAGTATAAGAATAATGATCAAATTAAAAACAGCAATACATGATAAAAAAAAATTAAATATGTAGAATTTTTCAACATGTTTTTTCATTTAAAAAATCATAAATAAATTAAATAAACAAACCATTGTGTAAGTGAATGAAAAAAATAAAATTAAACATGTAGAATTTTTCAACATGTTTTTTCATATAAAAAATCATAAATAAATTAAATAAACTAACCATTGTGTAAGTGAATGAAAAAAGTCATTAACGATAAATAAAAATATAATTAAAAAATTAAGAGATAAATATAGATTAAGATATTTAATATCACAACATGGATCATTTACTTGATTATATTTAATGAATTTATTTATTAAAATTAATTTATAATAGAAATCAACACAAACTAAAACTTATTGAATAAAATAAAAAAAATATTCAAGGTTGTATATAAAAGATATTATAAAAAATATAAATGAATCAACTAACCTCCTAAAAAATTAAACATACTCAATATAATTAAAAATAATAATCTTTATTTAAAAAAGAATTAAAAAATCCAAAGACAATAGCAAAGAAGAGGTAGTAACTAAAACATAAATAAAAAATATTATTAAAAAAAATAAAAATATTATTAATTAAAAATCAAAGTTATTTTTAAAAAATAAAGATAATGACCTAGCAAGCATGTTGTCCGCCCCAAATATAAAAAAACTATAAACAACATGTCATCTAGAACTACTAAAATAATCATTGATGTGGCTAAAAAAAATAAGATTTATGATTTTTTAATTCAAAACTCTATTTTAAATCAATTTTTAACTTAAAACATTTAAGAAACATCTAAATAATCTTATTAAATTAATTTATGGCCTTCAAAAGTTCAAAAAACAAAAGCCTAAAACTGGAAATTAAATTGAAATAAAAAAAATTTCCAAACTCAAATTTGTGTTTTTAGTTGTTTTCAAGACAGAATAAATATTTAATCTTAACATTACTCACTCGTTATATGACCCAATCATATATCATTACAATCATCAAAGAACTGTGAGATGAAGAAGAATAAAAATATTACAGTATTTTCCATAGATGCTTTTGTTTTCGTTTATGTACACGAGTGGCTAAAAATGTGTTGATCTACAACACCTTTTCGTCCATTACATTTCATGTATTCATGAACCCACATCTCAAAGCTCAAGATCACCAAACTGAGCACAAGCTGAAAGCACACTACCCATTGTAACGTGATTTGGTCTGCAGTTATAAGTATCCTCCACCGTCAAGCGAAAAAGGGTCAGAGCCTCCAAAGGGAAACCATTTTGGACATTCATACAATTCCAAGAAAGGACATATATTATTTTTATAGGTGTTTTGTAATATAATAATAATTATTTTTTAAATTATTTTTTAAAATTTATTTTTAATATCACCACATCAAAATAATTTAAAAATATAAAAAAATTAAGTTGTATATATAAACACGGCTACATGAGAATACCAAGCACTCGGCTGGTCTGTTCAACATTTCCCAATTTCCCGTACAAATAGACAAGAGCAGTATTAAACTATCAATTGAATCCCAAGCAATTTTTAATTGAAAAACAAAAATCATTCGCCCGAAAACATATGTACACTAGACTAGAAGCTTTCTGTTCATATATAAGGTTTTATAATGGATATATATAAAAATATCAATGTCAATTTAAATTGATATCCATCACTTCGATTTTTTTAAAACATGTTTATCAACTTAATTAAATATTATCCATTTATTAGTGTAGAGCTCCTAATTTATGGATGGGACGCAATAGCTATCCGTTTACGTGCGGGTGTGTATCAGCTCAATTTTTTAAATCAATTTCTAATTGATAGTAGCTGATACACATGTCAATCTAATTGTTAGAGTGTAAATCTAACGACTGAAATACATTATTAGACTCTTTGATATACCACTTGTAGATTTCTTTGAGAACGTCAATGGATAAACCACAAGTTGAAACATGATTTAACTCAGGCATGTCATTGATGTCAACCAATGGAAATAAATAAGAAACCCATGCCGTGATCTACTTTATTATCCACCTTTTGATGATCACACTAACCCATTTCCTGTGTTTTGTTTGATAAAAAATATTTTTAAAACATAAATAAATTTTAAAAAAATAAATTATTTTTTAATATTTAGTAAGATAATAAAAAATAAGTTAAGAAACATTTTTTAGTATTTAATTATATCATGAAAAATAATTTATTAATAATTTATTTTTTTAAGATTATTAAAATAATAAAAAATAAATTTTACAAATTAAAAAGTTGAATGAGAATGAAATTGAAAAAAAAAATTCATAAATTATCTCAAATAAAATAAATAATAATCAAAATAATAGAAAACAAATCTAAAAAATTAAAATAATAATAATTAATATTTCATAAATTATTTCAAATAAAATAAATAAAAATCAAATAAATAAAAATCAAATTTGATAAATAAAAATTTTTAATAAAAAAAATAATAGTTATAAAAATACAAACTAAAGTTAATATAAAAATAAAATTTTAAAAAATAAAATTAAAAAATAAACATTCAAAACAAAACAGATATAATAATTAAAAATATGAAGACCAAATGTGATATAATCAATAAATAATTTAATATTTTTAATTTTTTCATAACTTTCAAAAAATATTTTTAACTTAAATTTTTTAAGAAAATACTTTCATAAAAACCACAAAAAAATTTTAAAAATAATTTTTTAAAAAACAATTTTCAAAAAACAAAAACAGCCTTCTTGTTTTTGCTTTTGTGCTGCAATAAAAAAATTATTTTTTATTTAATTTAAATTAATATATTTTTAATATTTTCCAATCATTTTAATATGTTGATGTCAAAAATAATTTTTAAAAAATAAAAATATATTATTAATATATATTTTAATACAAGATATTATTTAAAAATACTAATAACCACACTCTCAACCATACTCCTGAACTGTAGTTGGATTGAAAAATCTTATGTGGATAATGCCTGTCTTCACAGGAATCATTTTCTTCATTGCTTGTCAAGGATAGAAGTTCCATCAGCTCCATTCGGTACTCAAGGCCTCGCAGGTAGTGCCCCAAAAGCATACACCTTGAAGGGGAAAAAAAAAAAAAAAAGAACGGATGCAACGCTATTAAAATCTTTTGCCAGAGGGAAGAACATCGTGAGAAAAGAGTTAAATGAAAAGGCCTCACCAGAAAAGTAGTCGTGCCAGATAGTCCCTTGTCAATGAAATGAGGGGCTGGAAATGAAGCGAAGTGTTCTCAACAAGTTCAGCACAATCAACTCCAATATTTAGCGATCCAGGTGATGTGTTCTCTGATTGTGGAGGAGTCTTAGAATGCATCTTAGGAGAAAGGGTTGCCAGGAGACCATGGACTACAGAATGGATCGTTTCTTTTAATTCAGGGAATGTTGGTTCGGATAACTCAGCAACCTGTTCATGTCACAACCACATATATTAGCAGCATATCTAAAATAAACCAAGCAATTCATTGCTTGAGGTTTTGCTGTGCATAGAAATAAAGAACTTGGCCAAACGCAAGTAGGAATAGGATCTACAAATTACTGACAGAACACCTTCGCCTCCAGGCTTTATGCAAGAACAAAAATAAATCATAGTACTATTGGGGTTGTAGCGGATTCATAATTAAACACTTAAAAAAACATTAATACTAGTGTAGGAACATGTAACTACATTTAAGATTGCAATAAGCAGGGCCAACAGTTAAACCAAAAGCCAAAAACCATCACTGCTATCAACATAATTAGAAAAGGAGATCATATAAACATTGAACTTATTGGAAGGAACTCAGGATCAGATGGATATTCATGACTTTAGAATTTGCAGGTAACTCCCCGTGTATTGAGAAAACACAGCCAGCATGCCTTACCAAATGCTGGGAAAAAGAAAAGGAAAATAAAAAAAAATCATTGCACATCAAAAGCCCTGGAAACAGCATCCGACTAAGAAACTAAAACCAAATACTTGAAAAACAAAATAGCTTTTCACTCAGTACTACTGCAAAAGAAAACTAGAAAAAAATGACTTTGAATGTTCAAACTTCAAACTACTGGAATTGCAATCAAAGAATCCTTTCTTAGCTTATTCTGATGAAGAAACAGGAACATCAAGAAATTTTGCAGGTCAGAAAGTATTATCACACAAAATCACCACTCTCATGTTTGAGCCAATAACAAGCTTTTGCAAACGTAATAAACAAAAGCAAGATCATACTAGTACTAGACTACTACAGGCATTACACCCTGTAATCAACCAGTTTGATATGAAGCATGCAACAACCACATCTGATAGTGGCATATCATATTATGCAAAGCATTCAGTGATTTGAAAACATCAGGCAAATTTCAAAAGAAGAGATTCTGTAGGAAAATGAGCTTGGGAATAATAATCACCTTCTCTGGTTGTAGTGACCTTAAGTAGTCCAGTAAATCATTCTTTTCTTCGCCGACTAATTGATGCATTTGAAGAGCAGCACTTTTCATCCTAACTTCATGTAGTTCCTTCAACAGAAATAAAAGGAAAATAAAAGACATATAAGAACACATCCTGAACAAAATAAACGTGTCTGTTGACACCATACGAATTGAACAACAAAAAAGATGGGTTATATCATTATCAAAGAATGACAAGACTAAAGCAAATTAATATAATTAGAAATGGAACTTCTCCTCTCCTAAATAACAGCACATCTCTTCTTTCTTGAGAAGGATATGATACCAGGAGAGACACATAGGCCTTCAGAGAAAAGGGAAATGTAAAGCATCAAATACGTGTGATATGTACATAATCAACTAGATAGATTACGTACAGCCTCATAAGAATTAAAAAGGCAAGCACACAGTCAAAAAGTTAACAAAATGTGTTCTCATAAGGAAATCCTAAGCACCAAAACCCATGATACTCACAAGAATGCTGATAAACAAGCATCCTCTGATTAGCTTTCAAACAACTCATATAAGTCCACTCAGCAAAGCTTCCCATTTCAGCAGCCTGAGGATTCCTAGATTCCTATGAAAACCCCCTCTTATTCCAAAAGGCTGCGTTCTTTGTGATGCCTTTATAGGACATCCAGGTAATCATATTCTTCTACCAAGCCACCAACAGCTCCATTTTGTAGGATATTTTTATCATTAATTATCATCCCAAATGATACAAAAAAATAAACTCTGACTTGTCTGTGTTCCAAGGGAATTTCTAAATTGCTATTGCATACCTTTTTCACAGAAGATAAATGAGATTGTAAATGAAGAATATATTGCTGAGCTTCAAGGGATATTTCACCAAGGCCTTGGATATTGATGTCATCAGATAGGTCTTCTGCAATTTTTTCAAATTCAGTATCTTTTCCAAGACTTTGATTTGTTTCTTCACTCTCTAGCACTAACCCTTGAAAATTGTTTTTTGAATTTCCCTGCACTTGCTTTTCAGAATCTTCTTCGTGTATATCAAGGTTTCTTTCAAGGCAAAGTCTACACTCAGCATTTCGTAGTGTATACCTGCAGTTCATGGAGAAATATAATTCATGGATATCTAATAATAGCAACAACAAACGAAAGGCAGCTGATCAAAATGTCCTATGATGCATCAAGTGTTCAAAAACTACTACAACCCATGCAAGAATCGACCACAATAAAAATTAATAATTTCCTTTGTCTTTTGATCATCAGATATCCAAATTGGCCTAGACAGATCACATCATGTTCCATATAAGCTAGATGACAAAAGCAATGAATTATTGTACCCTGTCATCATTGAAGAGACCAATAACTTTGAGAGAGATTCCCACCAAGCCTCAATAAAAACTTGAAATCGGTCTGATGGAAGTAAGCCCAACATGCCCGAGATGGTCCTCTTCATAGCATCCAAAGTAGCAGGTGGAACATCTTTTTGGATAAGGCTCACATCTAATGGCTCTATCTCTTGTATCAATTCTGAAAGAAGTGATTTCTGAAAGAACATACGCTCTCAATCATTACGAATATCATATGAATTCTTCAAGAAAAAGATAGAAATTAATCAAAGACCAACTGCAAATAATCTTGAATACAACATGCCAATTGGTTTTCCTGCCTGCTGGTTATCGTCTAGCTACAAAACTAACATGACTGACTAGTAAAACGAAAACGAAATCACAAACCAAATAACTTAAAGAACCATTTTACATTGCAAGATGAGACGCAAGGAGTTTATCATTGAAAATTCACGATGTACAATCTCATTCTACAAAAACAGTTTCCATCTAATGAATTATCTACAGTGGTTCTTATTTGCTCTCCTTTCCCTGTAAAAATGTAAAAACAGTAAATATTACAAAATTCAGTTCACTTCAAATTACACATTTTGCCAAAATTCGATACCAAATATGCTATCTAAATTCAAGCATACGCCAAATTTAACTCCCGAATCATACCACGATCCTTTTGTTTCGTAATTTCTTCATCATCAACAAAGCCAGTGGTATCAAATTCAGTAGAGTCTTGAACCTATTTTTCTCTGCTCACCAGCAATCCAACTAATTCAAGAGGCTCGGGTAAGCCTAAACTCCAAAAATCCCATCAACAATCATCAAGTCCGTAAAATTCTAATTCCATAAATTTTACACCCAATAAGATAAAACAAAATCCAATCTAAACCAATTCAGTTCAGTTAAGAGAGAGGGAGAAAAACAGTAGACTGAGGATTAGAGATGTGAACTAACCTTATCGGTGGAACGTGGCTCTCGATTAAAACCGAATCCGTCGAAGGAAGAATCTGAATTCGACGAAGCAAGGATTAGGGTTTTGATTTGTCTAGAATTTGCGGTAATAGTGGCGCGAAGAGGATAAGAAAATGCGAATGATAGAGAAAGAGACAGCGGCGTTTGAAGGCGACAGTGATTAGAGGAGAGAAGCAGAGGAAGAGGGAGAGGAAGAGAAGATGAGGGTTTGAAGGCGACAGTGATTAGAGGAGAGGAGCAGAGGGAGAGGGAAAGGGAGAGGAAGAGAAGATGAAGAGAGAAAGGTTGCCATTAAAAACGCAACCCTTTTAGAGTTCTGTGTCTTCTTTCTTCTTTTCTCTCCTCTCTCTAAGCTGTGAAAATCTGGAGCCACGAGATCTTCTGACGAAAAGTTTTAGAGCTAGAGAATTGGTTGGTGACGTTACACGTCAGCAAATTCGTCAGACAGGTCAACTCGTAAATCCAATCAGGACTGTTCTTGTTTTTTGGCTTAATTCACAACGATAAACACTCGATCTTTTTATTTTTTATTTTATAAAACTCTCTCCACTCAAAGTCGATACTATCGAAGTGATTGATACTTAGAGTCGATCCGCAGATTAATTATTGGTAATTAAAAGTATTCTGGAATTTATCTACACAAATAAATGGATTGATACTTTCGCTTTACATAATGCCCTCTGGGCTCTACGTAGCTGTGTTTTACATGTAATAGGGATATTTTTTAAAATATTTTTATTAAAAAAATATTTATTAATTTTTTAAAAATTAATTTTAATATCAAAATATCAAAATAAACTAGAAAATCAAAAAAATAATTTAAAGTAAAGAAAAAACAAAAAAAATTAATTTTTTTAAAGATATTTTACTAATAAAAAATATAATTCAAATAAAAAACGCAATCTTTTCCAAGAGAATTGAAGTTACTGTAAATGGTAATGTATTAGAAATTATTTTTTAAAATATTTTTATTTAAAATTATATAAAAATAATTCTTAAAAATATTTATTTTTGATATCAAAATTATTTCAAATATATAAAAAAATTAATTTAAAAATAAAAAAATTCAAAAACTTTTAAAAATATAATTGAATCATAATATCAAATACCTCCGGAATCTCATTTAAAATTTGAAAATAAATAATCATTATTGGAAAGTTTGAATCAAGTCATTCATATTCATCTAACATTTGAACCTTTGTTTATTTTAAAAATATATTTGATTTTAAAAAATATCACAATAATATTTTTAGTGTTTTTTAATGGTTGTTATATAATGACATTAAAAAAATCACAATATATTTTCAACTTAAAAATATTTTAAAAAAGTACCTTCCATCTAATACTAAACACACATTTAATTAAAAAAAAAAAAAAACAATTTAGTCATGGTATACCAAACCAAACTAAAGTGAGGATACCATGATTATGGAAATAACCATGAAATATGAAAAGGAAAAAGGAAAAAATAGTCATCGAGTACAGGGACCAGCCATTCTTTTTTGGGTTAAAAAAAACACTGATCTTATTTTCAAGTTCTAACCAGTTGCAGACGTTATACTGTTCGTAATTTTGCCATGATCTTAGTCTCAAAGAGGTTCGATGCCTAGCACTTTATTACCTCGCTACCTAATCCATCACCACATTGAATTCAAACATTTCCTCTGGAAAAAAAATAAATAAATGATTGAAAAGATGCAAGCAGGCAACATGGTTTCATCAAATTGTGGCATTAATCTAACATTTTCTTGACTTTTCCTCATTCACATAAGATGGGAAAGGTATTGAGATATTACTGTTTATGTGCCAGCATTTGCAGCTCTCTATTTCAGTAAAGGATGGTTGTTGTTAAAAATCTATAATAATAATAATAAGTGTGTTATTATTAAACAATTTATATTAACTATTAATAAAATAATATAATTCTTGTACTATTATTATTTATATCTTAATTTATGGTTTTTTGCCTGTTATTACATAAAACTATTATTTAAGAGCAAAAAATATATAAAAAAAGAGCTGTGAATATATGTAAAAAAAAAAACAAATAAAAAAACAATAATACCAGCTTTGTTATTATTATAGCAACTACAAGTATAACAACGAAAACTACAAGTTACAAGTATAACAATATTTTGAGTAATAACGAAATTGCAACCCTAGGAAAATTTGTTTTTCGTGTTTATGATTCTTTTGTAAAAACATTTACTTGAAAAATATTTTACTGTGTTTCGTAAATAATTATTTGAAAAATAAGGTTATAGTAGAATAATGATGATGTGCTATGAATTATATGGTAATTGCGAGGTGAGGTTGGTGGAGCGAGAAGGTGACGGTGAAAACAACGAAAACAACATTAATGAAGGTGACAGCTGAGTGAGAAGGCAACGGTGGTACTAACAAAAACAATATAAATGGAAACGAGTATATAAGTAAGATTATTTAATGATATTGCAAATGAATTATTATTTGTGAAATATTTCATGAGAGACAAACTTAAAACAAAAAAAAAATGTATTTTTTTATAAAATATTCTATACAACAAAGTTTTCTTAAAATTAAAAGAACACTACAAGATCATTTTTTGAGATTTCAAATAACCAAATATTCCTCAATCTTACCATTGATTCACGTTTGTATCAAAATGAAAAATGCTTGTGCTTTGCCATGTGCTGAGCTTTTTTTTATATAAAATATAATATTTAGTTCTTATATGGAAAAAAATAAAAAATCATTTATAATAAATAATAACTGCGCTAATTAGAACTAAGTTAATATAGGATATCTTGTCAAATTCATGGTCTAAATCAGGTGGTTGAAATAATCATATAAAACATAAGGAGAATTATAAAAAAAAAATTAAAAAGTATATTATCTTTTTAAATCTATAATCCAAATTATTAAGCTTGAAGCACTCAATCTGAAAAAAATCATAAAGTTTAATTCTCATTCAATCATATATTAAAGAATGAAACTGAAAAAATAATTTCAATTGCATAAAAGAATTTTAAAAAATAAAAATTAAAAGAATAAAGATCAAAATTAAAATACAAAATAAACTTTATATTTGATTTGAATGATGAAATTCAAAACTAATAAAACTTTTACAAAAAAAACAAGGTAAAAAAATTAGAAATCCAAAGAATAAATATCAAATTGAAAAATATAATATTTCAAAAATTGAGATTTAAAAATGAATTTGAAGATAAATAAAACTTCTATAGAAGGACCAAGACAAAAAATAAAAAGTTGAGAAAAAACTAAAGTTGAAATACCAACAATTAAGAAAGTCAAGATATAATTATTGAGAAAAAAGAGAGAAGAAAAGAAAAAATGAACCATGAGCAACATGTGCCACAACAATAAGAAAAGAATATGATGGTATTTTCAACGACATAATAGAAAAACATTTTTTGATACAGGGAGACTTTATATATGTCACCTAAAAAGTGTGGGTATCTTTTATACGCCTCTGCATATGCCATACACATATATATATATATATATATATATATATATTTTTGTATTTTAGCTAAATATCTAAATATCCCTAATTTGACTTTCAAATTATAAAAAGAAAAATGTTGTGAGAAAATAAGAATATCTATTGACCTCATTTTTTTTTTTAATTTTAAAAGTATATTGTGCATTTTAATTGTTTATTATTTTTTTATTTTATTAAATATCACATTTCTCTAGCTTAAATTACAATAATAAAAAAATTATTTTGAAAATACCCTTTAATACTAGGTTTATTTTTTTTATTTTTAAAAATATTTTGGTTGTTTCATCATGTTATTAAGATAAAAAAAATACTTATTTGTTCTTGAGGTGAAGAAGTAAAAACATTATTATAATGTTCTAGTGAATAGTATCATTGGCATGGGCCTTCGGTTCTTTTAATGATGGATCGAGGAAATTTTATTAAATGGACCACCTACCATTGTTTGGAATGTGGCATGCCCTGTAATCTAAAGGGATATGATTGCTCTATTTTTGCATACGTTTCATCAAGTTCACACTAACAGAAAACATTAAAAAAAAAAAACATTGAGTGAATCCTTGTCCCCTTTGCAAGAAGCCGATTGATGAAGTTCATCCTTGCATTTCTTTTTTAAACATTCGACGCCTTCACAACAGGGGATCTACTCTGTACCGACCTTGTCTTTGAAAAAGACAAAGGAGGGTCAGGTCATCAACACATTGGATTTTTGAAGGGTTACTGGTCGGGGAAGTGCCCATAGAATAAACGGGGCGTGGATATAGTAAGAGCTATGACAATTGACAAGAACTTGGACTGATGTTCGTGGGCTCTCACAAATACACAATCCAGTTTTAGCCTGCCTCGAAAACAAACAAGTTAAATTACTTGTTCGGGGATTGTTTGGATTCGTTTCCATATGCCGATTTAATAGTACTGTTGCAGTGTGCTGAGGGCACTTTGTAACTTGGTGGGTAGAACTGTTTAGATAGACGATAGTACTCGGTTTGCTCAAAGAGGAAAATTTGCTAGGGTTCCAGTGGATCTTGATTTACGCAACCCTTTGAAATCACGAGTTTTTTCTTGATGGAGAGGAGAACAGAATTGCTTACGAAGGTCTTCCACAAGTCTGTTTTTCTTGTGGCATTGTTGGGTATGGTAGTGCTGCTTGTCCTCGGGATCACTATCAACCAAAGCAAACTCCTTCCATGGAGTGTGATGGGGGTAGGGAAGTGCCTGTGATACCTGATCCCGCCGCCTATACAGGAGGCGTACGGGACTGGATCCATGCTCAACCTCGAAGAAGAAGGAGTACAGCTAAGGTAGGGAATCAATCAAGCACGAGATCAGTAGCAGAAAAATATGGCCAGAACTTCGGGATCGAGTTTTGATATCTTGGCAAATTCTGATTTGGAAAGATTGGCTGGGAGGGCGGATTTAGCGCGGAAGAATAATGTCGAGATTTTAATCCGATACTTCTGTTTTTATTTTAAAGAGAGCCACTCCGAAATCTAAGAGTCCAGGCCCAAGCCCATATCCCAAAAATGGCCTAAAGTCCATCCCTACAGAAATTCAAAATAAGGCCTTTTCAGGCAAGGCTTTGTCCTCGGTCCCATCTACTGGGATGGAGAAACAAGCAATTCAGCCCTAGTAGGGAAAAAACAAGGCGGCTTCCCATAACTCTTGTCTAATAGGCAAGATAGTTTTGGTTTAATTTAGTTAGTAGAAATTTTTTAATTAGATT